CCCCCCGGGGGGGGGGGGGGGGGCGGGCGGGGTGAAGGGGGAAATGCTGGGTCCATAGAATGAGCCCTGGAGTCCACTTTGGGAGGCCCTGGGTGCAGGGTTTTATACTAAAGCCAGAAGCAGCCTGGTCTGGGGAGCCAGGCTGACTTGTGTTCCCATCTGGCAGTACCATTCGCTTCTTCTGTTTCCTCCCCTATAAGTTGGAGGTCACAGATCCTACCTCGGAGGGGCTGTTATGGGAGGCTTCAGCAGAATAGGAAGTGTAGGTGCCCAGCTTGTAGGCTAGCTAACGGTGGTTCTCGTCCCTGTTCCTCCATCCTCCCACTTGAGCGATGTCCATGTCACAGTTCATCAGAGCCTCCGTTTTCTCATCTGTAAATGGGCATCACAGTTCCTGTCTGGCCAGTCTCTAGTGTCCTTCTGAGGCTCAAGGGAAATTGTGACTGTATTTTAGAAACCATGACACCTGGTACAAGTGGACAGTGTTTGGGGCTCTCCCTTGGCAGGGCCATAGCCCAGCAGAGAGAGAATGTAACCTAGAGAGACAACTGCCAGGGCCCTGGTCCTGCGTGGCCATTGACTCCTAACTTAAACTGAGCCCCAGTTTCCTCACCCATAATGGGGTTAATAATGGTACCCACCTCTTAGGGTTGTTGAGTGGGTAAGATGCAAGTGTGCTCACCCAGCAGTCAGCATGGAGCCTGGCCCTCCGTGGGCACCCAGTAGGGCCAGCCAGGGTGGCCGCTGTCACTGACCGAGCCCCCCTCTCTCCCTGCAGGCTATGAGCAGCAGCAGGAGCAGGAGAAGCTGGAACGGGAGATAGCACTGCTGCGTGGTGCCATCGAGGACCAGCGGCGGCGCGCCGAGCTGCTGGAGCAGGCTCTGAGCAACGCCCAGGGCCGGGCGGCGCGAGCTGAGGAGGAGCTGCGCAAGAAGCAGGCCTATGTGGAGAAGGTGGAGCGGCTGCAGCAGGCACTCGGGCAGCTGCAGGTTGCATGTGAGAAGCGGGAGCAGCTGGAGCTACGTCTGCGCACGCGCCTGGAGCAGGAACTCAAGGCCCTGCGTGCCCAGCAGGTGAGCTGGGGAACCCTGTGGAGGGGGCAGCGCTTGGGACAGCCCCTGGAGAGGACAGTTTCAAAGTCCCTGGGAGCCCCTGCACAGAGCAGGCAAGGCCCCCTTGGAAAGCAAGGGTGATCTCTGCTCTTCCCTGGCTCCAGGCTCCTCCAAACCTCCAGTCCCAGCAGAGGCTCTGCCACGCGGCCTTGTGCTGATCTCGGGGACTCAAGACTTGGGCTTCTGTCCTCGGGAGCAGCAGGGGTTGGTGTTCTTGGTCTCTAGAAAAAGTAGTTCTGAATCTTTGATATAGAAGACTAGCTGCTCTTTTTTTTTTTTCCAATATATTTTATTGATTTTTTACAGAGAGGAAGGGAGAGGCATAGAGAGTTAGAAACATCGATGAGAGAGAAACATCGATCAGCTGCCTCGTGCACACCCCCTACTGGGGATGTGCCCGTAACCAAGGTACATGCCCTTGACCGGAATCGAACCTGGGACCCTTCAGTCCCCAGACCGACGCTCTATCCACTGAGCCAAACCGGTTAAGGCAAAACTAGCTGCTCTTATGTGTCTCCCCACCATCAAGGGAGTCGTTTGCCCTCACTTTGTACCGTGTAAATAACTCTGGTATTTTCGGACAAGATAGAGAGTTCTGTCTCCACTCCCAGCCTTACCCTTCCCACAGAGGTAGGATGACCAAGCCTCCTGGTGTGGCCAGTGCTGTCCTGGTTTACACCTGTTATCCCAGTGGCGTTATGCAGAGCGCTCCTTTCCCAGTTCAGAGGATAATTTATGTGGTCGCCTGTGCAGAGGCAGACCTGGTCTTTCCCACACCCTTGGCCACAGGATTTGGGGCAGGGATGTGGGGTCCTTGCCACCTCCTTTGTCTCTGGGTGGACGCAGGATGGGAGAGGAGTGTACTGCGAGTGGCTGGACAAGCACAGGCATAAGCCAGAGTCCTCTGGGGGTGAGCACCAGTGGCCGGCACACCCCAGCCTCCATCCTTGACCACAGTACTCCTTGCTTTGCAGAGACAGGTCGGCACCCCCAGCGGTGGTGGCAGTGGTGGGTCCCCAGAACTGAGTGCCCTGCGACTATCAGAGCAACTGCGGGAGAAGGAGGAGCAGATCCTGGCACTGGAGGCTGACATGACCAAGTGGGAGCAGAAGTATTTGGAGGAATGTGCCATGAGGCAGTTTGCCATGGACGCAGCCGCCACCGCCGCTGCCCAGCGCGACACCACTCTCATCCGACACTCCCCCCAGCCCTCACCCAGCAGCAGCTTCAACGAGGGCCTCCTCGCCGGCGGCCACAGGCATCAGGAGATGGAAAGCAGGTTCGGCATTGCAGGCCAGGCCAGGGCCCCCGAGGTGGGGAGGGAGGTAGCAGTGTCCAGTCCTTAATCTCTGATGAACAGCCCCCTCTCCCCACATGGCTCAGCAGGCCCTCCTACTTCTGAGCTGGCCCTGTGTGTTGGGCACACCAGGCGTTGTATGCATGTCCTTTCCCAGAGATAGCGACTGAGCCCTGGACCTGCCCAGGAGACCCTGGCTGTGGAGGTGCTGGAACCCGCAAGGCTCAGGGCCTCTACCTGCTCCCCTTCCACCATGTAAATCAGAGACTTTCCAACTGAGGCCACACCACGTCCCACTCCGAAGGAATGTGGACTGGGTCCCTGGCTTGGGGGTAGCTAGCATTTTCTTTCCAACAATAATGCCAGAGGCCCCTCGATTTCATGTGTCCTGTGTTTGACTCGAAGGCACAAGCACATCGACTGAGCCCATTTGATGGTCAGCAGCTCTGGTGTTGCACCCCAGGGCGAGGGTTGTGCCATTGCTATCGTCAGATGAGTCCAGAACCCGCCCCTGATGACCTGCCTTTGCTGGTCTAGGAAGGGGTGGTTTTTAGAGCATTGAAATCCAGAGCTCTGATGAACTTTCCGAAGGCCCCCTCCTGGCCCTGCTGCAGGGGCACTTGGGTCCAGCCTGGCTGTTGGGAGGGCTTTCCCTCCAACATTTACCAGGTGGTAAAGGTGGGGGCTGCTGGGTCTGTGGGTCTAACGATGTGGGCATGACCTCTCCCCTCAGGTTAAAGGTGCTCCACGCCCAGATCCTGGAGAAGGATGCGGTGATCAAGGTCCTGCAGCAGCGCTCCAGGAAAGACCCCAGCAAGGCCCCCCAGGGCTCCCTGCGGCCCGCCAAGTCCGTGCCATCTGTCTTCGCGGCTGCAGCAACAGCGACCCAGGGCTGGCAGGCGCTCCCCTCTAGTGAGCGGCAAATGGATGCCCCTGCCTGGTTGGCTGCAGGTGAGCAGGGGCTGGTGGGTGGCACAGGTAGACGGGTAGGTTGCTCTGAGGCCTTTCCTCCCAGAACTGAAGCTCAGAGGAACCAGGGCTTCCTGACCCCTTACCTGGGAGCCAGCTTAGACTCGCTAACTCCAACGATCCTGCCTCCCACAGCTGTCTTCGCCAGCGTGAAGTGGGTTGCTGCAGCCCCCACCCCCCATACATTTCATCACCCTCTGTGCCCAGCCACTTAGCATCTAAGTAAAAATAAAGCTCTTTGTGCAAAGGCACCTTTGAGGCAAGCCCCCTGCACTCACTCCTTCTAAGCAGATGCCCTAGAAATTCTAGAATCCCTGCTGATTTTAAGATTTCATCTACAAAGAAGGGTTCTATCACTCAAAACCTTTGGAAACCAATCTAGCCTGATAGTTATTCCCATTTGGAAACAAATATTTGGTCCTAATTGAAGTTCTTGCCAACCAAGAGCAACCTACAGCACCTTTTGCTCACAATAGGTGCAGTTAACTTGGGGTGTCCTTCCTCATGGGGGGTGGGGGGCACATCTTGTGGACGAGGCAATGACTGTCACCCTCTGCCTTTCCAGCAGACAGGGCTCCTGTGGAGGAGCCAGTGGCCACAGCTCCCCTTCCTGCCCATGCCAAACACGGGAGCAGAGATGGCAGCACCCAGACTGACGGCCTCCCGGACAGCACCCCGGCCTGCCTGGGACTGGAGCCCGACAGCCTTCTGGGGTGCAGCAGTGGCCAGAGGACAGCCTCACTGGGTAAGTCCCCACTTCCTGGCTGCTGTGCCTAGCAAGGCTGAGGACACATTGGGGTGCGAACTACATTCAGTACCACACTCCTTCCCAGACCCCTTATGCTCATTGCCTCCACTCCAGGGGAGCCCCGCACAGTGCCTGGCCAGCAGGGCATATGGCCCACCTCAGTTTGAACTTGAGGGCTGGTTGGGTGCGTGAATAGAGGAACAGAAAACCCTGATTACAGACAGATCCAGAGTTCAGAAAGAAAGCCACCCCATGGGAGACACTTTATCTCCTCTCTCCTAGTCTTCCTTACACATTTCATTGCCGATCTAAATATCTAAGACCGTGGAGATTGGCTAATTATCCTGATGGCACTCTCGGGTTGGAAGACTTCCTTTCGAAAGAGTCCAGGAAGGAGAAAGTTGAGAAGATGCCATTTAAACTTTTTGCTCCCTTTCACATTAGCCTTTGCATATTTGCTTGTGCCTCACGGCTCAGAAAACCACAGGCATGAAAAGAATGCAGCAGCCTGCCTCCCTCAGGGCCCTCCACCCTCCCTCCAAGCCCTCCAAGGAGTTCAAAGTTATAAACAAATGAGTCGTCCATGCAGGAGGTTGGGAGTCTGGGTGGAGAGCTGAGAGGGAGCAGAGCATTGTGCCTGGTGGCCAAGTCATGGGAACCCAGGTCCCTGGGAGCTGAGGTGGGAAAAGTTGGTGGAGAAAGATCCTGTCTTCAGGATGTACCAGAGTTGAACAGAGTGGTCTGGAAACACAGGCTAATGTTTGTGCCTATGCTCTCGTCTCTGTAGACTCTGTTGCTGCATCGAGAGTCCAGGACTTGTCAGACATGGTGGAGATACTGATCTGAAGGAGTGGGTGCCGCAGGGGCTCGGAACCGTTCCCTGCTCTCCTCTGCCATTCGCGGCCATTCCAGCAGCCCCTCCAACTGCTGCTCCCCCACTTCCCCCAGCCGGGCACTCATTCCCATTGGCCATCTGGTCCCAGGAGCTTAGGAAGGATGCTACGGGGAGAGAGGGATGTACCTGTGCCCCAGAAGACCCTGCTTCTTAGCCCCACGTTCTTCCCAGGCTCATGCAGAATGAAGATTCAGCCTTTACCTGCTGCCCAAGCCTTGCTGCTGGGGTATCGACTGAAGAGAGCTGGGACCCTGTGCCTCCCCAGTTGACAGGGAGGAAGGGAGGGGGTATATTGGTTTAGGGGCTGACTTCCAAGGATGGCTGCCCATGGACAGTAGGTAGGCTGGTTCGGTAATGGAGTTGGCCATGGTGTTCCCCTCTGGCTAAGTGTGGTCCCAGCCAACCTCATCTGCTCCTCAGCTACTCACTGCCTCCTTGGGACCACTAAGACTTGCTCCTGTGGGGGACCGTTTGAAGGTGTTAGTCCTGCAGAAGCCACGGCATCACCCCCTCACTGGCAGTGGGCAGGGGCTGATTAGTGGACTGGGATCTGCTGGGCAGTTTGTACATAACTCCCTTGCTTGTGGAACAGAAGATTGAAGCGTGCTGCTTCGGACTTGTCCCTCCTTCCGTGCTCTCATCCCTGCTGCCACGGTTCCTGGAACTTCTGACCAGCCTCCCAGTTAGTTCTCAAGTTCTTGGCCCGTGGATTTTGATACCGGTTGATCCACGGAATATTTCGCTCTTTTCCTCCCATCTTGAGCCGTCCTAATTACCCATGGGACCCTCGCCATCACCAGCCTCGTGCAATGGCTCCACAGCTCCTGTCCCTGGGACATCCTGTCGGTCTGGTTATGACCCTGAGCCAGATGAAGTGAGCCACCGCACGCAGACATCTGCCACGGTGGGCTTCCTTGCACCCAGTTCTCGAAGAGTCTTTGTTCCCACCTGGAAGGATTGAGCGAGGGAGCGGTGCTGGTGAAAACTAGTCAATGAGCTACAAGATGTGACTCAGTTCTTTGAAGGGGGGCCCCCATCACAGAATGGCACCTGTGAGGCTGGCTCCTCCAGCTACCCGTGCCTGGCGCCCGGAAGCAGGGCCAGTGCTTGGAATTAGAACGAAGCATCCGTGTGGCAGCTGCCGGCAGCACTGACTTTGACCTCTGTCCACCCCTCTGCCCCAGCTCAGCCCCTGGAGCGATTGGTGGGCTTGAGCAGTTTGTCTTGACTGTTTTTAGTTCTCCTTGAATCTTTGTTTTTTCCTTTCCTGTTTTTAAGTTCTGTATGTGTTATTTTATTCCCATGGTTCCTTTTTGAACATTTGCATTTGCTGGACAATTGCATATTTTTTTAAGACCCCCTTGTCCTCTTATAGCTGAAAAATACATTTGGTTCATGTGCATTGTTTACAAAGCAAAAAGAAGAAAAAAAGGAGGAAAAAAAGGTAAAAAAAGTATTGTGAAAGGAAAAAAAACACACAACTTAATATATTTTGGATTAATATTTGGTATTTCTTTTAAAGTATTTTTTTGTGCTGTGAACATTTTCTGCCAAAGACCATGATGTGTGTCTGTATGTTTAAGTTATCGTAAATATTTAAAATGTAAACATGGCTGTTTTGTTATGCCACCCTGTACCAGGATTGCTGCTGCATTCCACTGGGTATTACAGTATTTTAATAAAAAATAAGAATTAAAAGTGGTGTCTGTACAGGTGAGACTGCACTGAGAAAGAAGGAATGCAAAGGGGATGGGGACTGGGTGGGAGCCACCCATGTCATAGTGTCTGACCACTCAGCCCTGAACTGTACCCCATACCCGACCCCTGTGCTCCTGTGTGCCTCGGTTCTTAAATGTTGGCTAGAGCATGTCCATACACAGCCGGCTCAGGGTCACTGCCATTCCTCGTGTCGAGGAGTGAAGGGTGCCAGTTATTGATTTCAGAGAGGAAGGGAAAGGGGGAGAGAGATAGAAACATCAACGATGGGAGAGAATCACGTCTCCCACTGGGGATCAAGCCTACAGCCTGGGCATGTACCCTGACCAGGAATCGAACCCTGACCTCCTGGTTCATAGATCAACGCTCAACCACTGAGGCATGCGGGTCGGGCAGGATGTTGGCATTCTTTGCACTTTCACAGAGAACACTTCAGCCTTAGATGGTCTGACAGATGGGCAGCCTCTCCAGGTGGCTTTGCCCAACCGGCTTTGTGTGGCCACACACTGATGACCACAGTAGGAGTGGGTGCCCAGAGGTGGATTTATCGTCCCCCCACACTCCTGTCTTCTTTTCACCCCCACCCATCACAGAAAGTGGTCTGGGACCCTCTGAAAGACTGGGCACCGTGCTTGCCCTCTGTCTGGACGTGGGCAGAGGGTGTTGTATGGCATGTTCTTGGGCACTGCCTCTCTCCCTTGCTGTGGCTTCACCACTCTTGCCTCAAGCTCAGGAAAGCATGTCACTTAAATCCAGAGAAGAGAAAAACACTCTCAGTCTCAGGTGTTGTATCAGAAACAGTACCTGCCTCCATGGGCCCGTTGACACCAAGGTTCCCAATCAGGCTGTGGGCACCTGATGGGAACAGTTACTGTGCAGCTCTGGGCGGAGCACTTTCAGAGCAGGTGTGGGGACTCAGCAGCCATGTTGGTGAGTGATGAGTAGGACCCTAAGAATATGTCTTCCTGAGCCAGCCTCTCTGCCCATAAGAACTGGAGTCAGAAGTATTGGAAACCTCCAAGGACTTTTTTTCAGCAACTTTGCAAATGGTAATGGGACCTATGGAACGGGCAGGATTCCCCACCCAGCACAATCAGAGGCCACAAACCCCACCCCCTGGGCACCCCAGCCCTCTCCAAGCTGTCTTCACCACCTGGCAGCATCCATGCCCACCTTACTCCTACCAGGCCCTGGATCAGGCCCTCCCAGGATGCACTAGGTGGCCTGGACGGCAGAACTCTGCTCCCACTGCGCTTCCTTTGGCCACACCAGCCATCGGCCACGCTGTGGTGTCCAAACAAGATGGCAGTGCCTGTGGCATTTCAAAAACCAGCTTAGCAAAGAAGTTTCTGTTCACCTCCACCTGCCCCCTTAAAGAGCCCTGGGAGGGCAGCTCAGACCCAGGTGCAGGAAGCCCTGACAGCGCCACCCACCCTCACCTTTGGCCAAGGACTTCTGAAGCATCTGTGCCTTTTGCAAGAGCTGGTCTCTCAGGAGTCACTTTAATATTTTCTTGGCACAGACCAGGGGAGTGAAGAAACCAACCCGGCCTGCCCAACGTGAATATGTGTGTGTATGCGTCTGTGCACATGTGTGCTTGAGCTTGTCATAGTAAAAGATGTGAGGGGCGCCCAAATCTTCTGGTGCCCTTGCAGCCACATAATCACGGGTGGGTCTGAGGAGCCACTTCCCAGAGCACTTTGTACATTAGCCTGACAAAGCTCCGGAGCCGGTGGAGAAACAGGTGGAGCTGTAGGTCCCGGTGGGGTTGGGCGGGCCCTGGGTAGGAGAGTGTGGTGCTTGGGCACCTGTGATGAGGGGGCCTGGGCAATGAGGGACCAGTCCCTGGGTCTTCCAGGTGGTTCTGCTGGGCCCTTTGGAGGCCAAATTTCTCTGCCAGGGACAGCCCGGTCCTGCCTGCCCTGCCTCCACCAGGGCTGGGGGTGTGGCTCACAAGAGGCCCCAAGTGCTCCAGAGGCCAGAAGGCTACCTATGAGTGTGTCCAAGCCCTCTCCTCCTCTCTCTCTCTCTCTCTCTCTCTCCTCCTGGTTAATCATTAACTCTGTCCCTGGCTCAAACACCTGTTAGCTCAGAGGGCTTGGCGAAAAGCGCCAAGATAAGGGCAGCAAATGGGGGCCTAGTCTCCCAGAAATGGCTGAGGCCACCTACTGCCTCCAGGGACTCCAGCTGGACAGGAAGCTTGTTTGAAATGTCACCCTCCTGACTCCTAGCTCCGTGAGGACCCAGCCAGGATACAGTGTCTCTATGAACCCACCACATCCGGATCAAACACACAAGGAAAGCACCACAGCAACCAAGCTCTCAGCATCCTTTTCTAAAAGTTGACATAAAATTCTCTCACCATTAAATCCACCCTTTTAGCCCTGATCGGTGTGGCTCTGTTGTTAGGTGTCATCCCCTGCACTGAAAGGTCACGGGTTCAATTCCCGGTCATGGCACTTGCCCAGGTTGTGAATTTGATCCCAGTAGGGGTGTGTGTGGGAGGCAACAGATCTCTCTCCCTCTCTGTCCCTCTCCCTTCCTCTCCCTCTCCTTTCCTCTCTTTCTCTAAAAATGAATTTAAAAAATATTTAAGCCCTGACCGGTTTGGCTCAGTGGATAGAGCGTCGGTCTGCGGACTGAAGGGTCCCAGGTTCGATTCCCGTCAAGGGCATGTACCTTGGTTGCGGGCACATCCCCAGTGGGGAGTGTGCAGGAGGCAGCTGAATTGATGTTTCTTTCTCATCGATGTTTCTACTTCTCTATCCCTCTCTTTCTCCCTTCCTCTCTGTAAAAAATCAATAAAATATAAAAAAATAAATAAAATAAAAAATATTTAAATCCATCCTTTTAAAATGTACAGTTTAGTGGTATTTTTTACAACATCCATGTTAAGCCAGTGGCTGATTGTGGATGATCACCAGATGCCCTGCCAGTGAGCCATATAGACACAGTTATAAGTGGTATTTGATCTGGTGCATTCACACTTGTTGGCCCCCTCAAAGATGCCCTTTGACCTTTCTATAGCTGACATTCTCCTTCCACCTGACGCAGCCCACCAGCCCCAGCGGTAGTCCTCTGGGCCCCCGAGAGGACACTGCTCTGGGCTAGAGCCCTCCACCACCTGCCCCCAAGCTGCCGGGCAGAGGTCCTGGTCGGAGGTCCAGGAAGGAGGGTGAGCCCTGACCTCCAAGGCACCCACTGTCTGCTCAAGGTTTTCCAAAGTCAAGGAGCATTGGCAGGGGTGGGTTCAGTTTTGTGGGCCTGACCTTATATAATTTGGGGGACCCTCTTTAAGAAAAAGATTGCAAAATGGCAAATACAAAATTAGTCTCTGAAGGGGCTTGTTCAGGCCCGCAGCTCGAGGCATAAGCTTTATTAACTGACAGTACACCTGCGTCTGGGGGTGGGCACAGTGTCTCCCCAAAGGAATGAAGCTCCGGGAGGTGCCCGGGACTCGGGCCCATCCCGTCCCTCCCAGGTGGAGGCTTGGAACTGGAGGTCAATAAAGCAGTTTTGCTCCAACTGGGGCAGATGGAATCACTGCTTCTGGGTCCCCATTATAACCCTCTTCCCTGAGGCTGAGGCGCCCACAAGGGGCCCTGGAGTCCGGGGGACAGATAACACCACAGAGCCTGGACAGCTGGGCTGGCCAGCCAGCCAAGGACCAGATCTGTGGCCAGTGCATATCTGCACCCTGATCTCACCCACCAAACAAGTCTCCAGCCCCAGACAGAGTTTGGGGGTTGGGGGGAGGAGGAGACATCTCACAGTTGACTCTCTGGGTGTCCTGGAGAGCCACACCACTCGACTGTGGCAGGGACACATGCTCCTTTCCTCTGAATGTCTGTCAGCTTTTGATTCCGAGCCGGCCAAAAGTCACGAACTGTCCTCAGATAAAGGCCTCATGCGGGTCCAAAGGCTCCTACCTGGGGCACATTCCAGGTGTGCTTGGGCAACACTGCAGACAGTTGCCTGCATGGATTGGCCTCTCCTTGCATCAGTTTGGCCTTCTTTCTCTAGCTCCGGGAGGCCCTGCCCAGTCTCTCCTCAGCAGCCTTTGCTTGCTCAACACAACGCACTGTGGAAATCCTCACAGCATGTTGCATCAGCAGCCAAAATGCCAAAATCTCGCCCATAGAGTGACTAACTGCCTAAGCCACAGCTAAGGTTTGCCCTGGAAACTGAAGTAACCTTCTTTAACTTAAAATAAAGAAAAACAGTTCCCCTTCCCAGACACTTTTCTCTACGGTTTGGGTTCTCTGCCCCACCAAGACTAACTTCTCTGTAAGTGGCCTGCCATCATTCATTCATTCATTCATTCATTCCTGTTATCTATGTTTATTGAGTTCCTGCCATGGTCCCAGCACTGCGGCGGGTACTAAAGGTATAATGATGAATAAGGCGTCTTTGTGTTCCTATCATAAAGTTCTCACAAGTGTTGGCTAAATGAGTATTCTTGACAAGAGCTGGCCCCTCGTCTACTTTTCTGGCTCTGGGTTCCATCACTTTCCCAGGCACATCCAGCCATACAAACAACAGGTGGGTGGTTCTAAGTGCACCGCGGTCTCTCTTACCTCCTGGCCTTTGCACATGCCATTCCTTTTCTCTGGAAGCCTTTCTCACTTCTTTTCTCCTTTCTTTTGAGTTTTAACTCAAAACCCATCCATCAAACTTCAGTTCGAACATCACTTCCTCCTGGCAGCCTCCCCGCTCCTTTATGTCCCCCAAGACCATGAGAGGGAGGAGAGTTGAGACTTGCAGGTGGAGAGAACCTTCGTTAACAGACAGTCGTCTGTGGCTCTGCTTGATTGAGAGAGAGCAGGAAAGGAGATAGAACTCACCTTTTCAATTACTCAGGGGTTACACCTTGTGCCTGTGCTGGGGTCACACCTGTCAGGACAGTAACCTCTTAGGGTATTCTGGCCAGAGCGCCCATGCCCCTCCCCCTTGGCCAGACCCCCCAGGGTTCACTGGCAGTA